CTAGGGAAGCTACATGCATTGTTGTTTGTCCACTTTGGCTCATGGGAAAGAGGAAGTTCTCATTTCACAGGCACCTGCCTTGGTTCCCACAGTCACTTGCTGGGATGCCCCAACCCTGCCCCACTGGGCCTGTGCCCCCCAGTCACCTTCACCCACTACCTTCTGCCCTATTCATGACCCTCTTTTCACTTCCCCCAGCTAGCCCTGTCCTTCCCACTTTTGCACACATAGTAGCCTCGGCCTGGAATGTTCTGGCTCATCTTTCTCTGCTCACTTCCTCCAGGAAGTCTTCCCTGAAGCTCCCCTCTCCCCTTACTAAATTAGACCCCATGGTTACCCTCTCATAGTATTCATCCTTACTTTTCTTCCATGATGCTTATCAGTGTCTCCCTTCCTTGTCTGAAAAAGGTCTGCCCCACTAGATAGTTAGCCCAGAGGGCAGTGAGCACATCTGCCTCTGTTCCTCTCTGTATCCCCAACACTGAGCACAGTTCCTGGCAAGGGTGTATGGAGAATGAAGAGGGATCAAGTGAATGAATGAATGACTGTGGCATGGTGTTATTTTATCTGATTAGGCAAAGCCCCTCCATTGCCACATCACTCCATCTTGCCCAGATGGAGCAAGATGATACAGTGCAGAGCTGTGGAATGTGGAGATAGGCAGAACTGGGCCTGTGTTCCAGCACTGCCATCACCAGGTCATGCCTTTGGTGAGTACATCACCTCGCCCAGCCTGTTTACTCACCAGTAAAATGGGGATGTAGCAGGATGACAGATGAAGCACAGTCATCTATGCAAAGGGCCTAGCACACGATGCTCAGAACAGCTGTCTCCTTCCCAGAATGCTGGAGAGGGAGTGTGTTCATATCCCAAGACGTCCAACAGACAGGTGCTCATTACCCGGGCCAGGCTCCTCTGCTACAGGCCCAGAGCAGTGGGGGCGGGGAAGAGGTTTGTCTCTCACAGTAGGACTGTCCTGGGAATTCTCTAATCTGGGACCATCTTTGCTCTCAGATGGCCTCAAAACCTCTTCATTCTCATCCCTCTTTCAGAGCCACAGAGAAAGGGTACACTTTAATGTCTCCATGTTCTGACCCAGCAAGCAGAGGCTCTGAGCCCCCGCTGCATGGGGCACTCTCACCGACTCCTGGCCTGGCTACTGCCCACCCCAGCGGGCTCAGGCTCTGCCTCAGGCAGGCTGGGGAGAGGGATCCAAGTCCTCACCTTCCCTGTGCCTTGGTCAGCTTGCTCTGTTAGAAGAGAGTTCCTTTTTCTTGTGCCCCGCTTCCCTGGAACCACCATCAGGGATGAATAAATGGAGAAAAGATGACGTGATCCAAGAAGCCCTTCTAGACACAGACTTGCACCAGGTGGACCTTCTGCTTCTTTGTGAGATGTGAGACTGTTGGTTAAGGCTATATCTGGGCAGAAGGGAAGTGGGCATTAGCCCCTGGAGCATCAGAAAAATGATCCTGTCCTCAGAGGGCTGGCACTTGAGGCATCAGTGAAAGCCCTTGAAGCATCTTCAGGACACATTTAAAGTCACAAATTGCACAGTCTAGTACCTGAGAGGGCCAACTCTTTCAAGGGCCAAAGCTGGCCCCGCCCACACTGGTAAGCCCTCTTGCCTGCTCTGACCCACCTGAACCCTTCCCTCTCAAACTAAACCCCTTAGCTTTGGGCTCTGCAGGATGGGGCTCCTCCTGCCTTCACCTACCATGTCCAATCTCAGGGCCAGACCCAGAACTGGGTCAGACGTGCTGTCTGGCTCTAGGCCTTTGCACACACTGCACCCCACTCCTGCCCTCTTTGCTAATGCCCACACCTCCTTTAGAATTCAGCCCAGGTAAAATCTCCTCTGAGATCCTGGTTCCTCGGACCTCCCCTGCAGGCTGGATGGGCTGACCTGCAGGGCTCCCTTACCCCTTCCCTGGGCTGGTCTATCTACTTTTCTGTCTACTCACTGAAACAGAGTGCCTTGAGGACAGGGCTGGGCCTTGGTCCAGGATGGTGTCTGGAACACGGAGTTTGAAGAATGAGTGAATATGGGGAGGTTGTGCATGTGTGGGGAGATTGGTATATGAAAACTCTGTATTTCCCACTCAAGTTTGCTGTGAACCTAAAACTCCTCTATAAAATATCTATTAATTTTTAAAAATTTTCGAAATGAATGAAAAAACATGATCAGCCTTTGATTATGCAATTTTGGTTTGCAGAGGTCTCAGGCAACTGTGCTTGAGTGAGGTACCCCAGGCAGACAGGTCTCTAAGGGCAGGGACTACTCTTCCCTTGTCAGCCCTGCCAGCCCTGCCAGTCCAGGTCTGAGTACACACAGGTGGTGTGGTCTGACTAGCAGGATGACAGGCGGCCAATTCTCTGCCCATCCACCTGTGATACAGCAAGTTAAGGAGGCTGCAAAGGCCACCTGGGGTTTGAACTGGGCCCTCCATTGTCTGTGCTTGGCTGCTGATCCACTCCTGGAAGGTCAAGCTGGCCGGTGAACGTAGCAGGGGCTAGACCCAAGGCTCAGAAACTCTCCACGTCTGCATGTTCTTGCAGACTTTCTACCTCTAACCTAGGGTGTTTCTGCATCCCAGACCTCCACAGCCTCTCCGGTGCCCTAAAAGGACTGTGCCAGAGCCAGAGCAGGATCTGTAGATCAGAGGGGACAGTCCTGGCTCCAGGATACCTGCCATTCGACTTCTCGGCGTCTCTGTTCCCTAATCATAGACAGGGGGCAACACAGTGAAGTTTGGCCACTGCCCCCTGGGGCTCCAGGAAGATCAGGGAAGGCTATAGGGGCCTTTGGGGCCTCCACCCTGCCTTAGCCCCCTGCCACACACTCACCCACCTTCCCCAGCCACTGCTTGCATGCCAGTCCTGGGAGAGGCCTCACAGGGACTGTCACACGGTCTGTCACACACCAAGACCCAAACCTTCTGGCTCTGTTTCTCCAGTTGGTTTCTTCCTCTGGTCTTCCTCCAAAAGGCCCTGGACCTGGGAGGCAGCATGACCCACAGAAAAAACAAGGACTTGGAGCTGGTCAGAACTTCCCCACTTAAAAGCTGTGGGACCTTGAGAAAGTTAAGTAACATCTTTGAGCTTCAGTTTGCTCATCTATCAAATGGGGATAATAGCCTCCGCCTCAGGGGCTGCTATGAGGACTACGTTATAAATGGCAGCTGTGACTTTCCAGGGCATGGCTTCTGGGCAGTGCTTCCCTCTGGCGCTCTGTAGCAGGGTGACCACGCACCCTGGTTTTCCCAGGACAGTCTCAGTTGCTGCCTCTTGTTCTGGTATATTTATTGCCCCTTTTCACTCTCAGAAGAGCCCACTTTGGACAACAACGCACATGGTCAGCCTACCTGTACCTCTGCTCCCAACATAGGCCCAGCCTGTGAGCAGCACCGTCCCCCGTTTGTAGTCTCCCATCCAAGAGGCCATGTCTGGTTTGTAGTTAGGGGGATTTTTATACCCTTATCTCTGAGCTTCAGGTTTTGTTTTTCAAATGGGGATAGCAATGCCTATCTTGAAGGATGCTTAGAGGACTAAATGAGATAAGGTAAAAATCTGAGTTTCCTTCCACCATCTTCTCTCCCTGGTTCCCATCACGCCAGTTTCCCCCCAAGAGTAGGGCTCCAGAGCTCAACTTCTCCCCTACCAAGAGAGTGATTTTTATAAGTTCCAGGTGACATATGAGCTCCCAAGCCAGGATCTTTCTTAAGAGCAAGAAGTAATCTTCATTTCCACCCCCAAGCTCCAGAGCAGGCCCTGAGGAGCATTCCAGCCCCTCCTTCCTGCCCGCATCCACCTGTTTCTGCTGGCGGCCTCCAAGCCCATCGTCACAGCTGGAAACACTTCAGCCCTCACCTATCTTGCTCATATGAGCAAAAGGCACCTTTGAACTCTCCCACTCTTCCAGGAATCTGGAGGCCCAAAAGGGAGTCTGCTGAGCCTTTAATCCCCAGGTACCTGCTCTCTGGTAAAGCAGGTAAAGGGTAACCATGCAATCTCGGCAGATAAAGCCACCACGAGACCAGCCTGTTGCAGCAAGGGGTGACATTCTCCCAGACCACACCCGGACTAGCAGCGTGTCCTCCAAGGCCCTGCAGCCCACATCTCCCACCTGCCTGTTGCCCTCACACACATCTACTCTTGGCCTTCTTTTGCTGTTAGACAAGAAGCATCTCCCCTGGCCTGATCCTCCCCCTTCTCTTGCCCTAGGTGACACCACGCCTGCCTTGGGTATTGCAGAATATTAGGTTCCACCAGGAAGCTCTCAGGGTAAACAACCTGTCAGTCCCTAGGATCCGACTCGAGGGCTCTTTTTTCAGAGGCAGTTGCATGATGTTTCAGATTTTTGTGCTGCCCCAGAAACCATAATATCTGTATGAAGGAAGCCAAAGGAAGAAAAACAATGAAGCAGCTGCTAGACTGTGACTGAGAAAAGGGATCTGGTGGTGGTAGCGGTGTGTGGCGGACGGGGTGCTTCACCAGATCCCAGGGAGGTAAATGCTGAGGGGGAGAGCTCTGCTTCTGCAGGGGCAGCAGCCTGTCTGGAGGCAGCTTTGGGGCAGAAAGAGAAACTAGCTGGGTGACCCTCACTCTCCCAGTCACAAAATGGAATTAAATGTACCAGTTGATTCTGTCATGAGGCTGTTGTGTTAGGAGGGTGAAGGTAGACCAAGGAAACTCTCGGCAGCAGAGGGAACACATAACACACAAACACAACCGGATATAATCTGGGGCTCCATGTGGCTCCCTCTTGCACGGAGTCACACTCAGAGAAGCACACGCTGGCAAAGGAGTGTAAAAGACTCCGTGTTCTAGTGGTTGCCAGAGGGGGGCGGGAAGGAGGGAGGAGTAAGATGGGGCTAGACCGCGTACAAGACAACCAAGCTACCAGGGTATGTTGTACAGCACAGGGAATACAGCTGATAGTTTATAACTTTAAGTGGTGTATAATCTATAAAAATATTGACTATGTTGTACACCTGAAACTAATATAATACTGTAAATCAATTATACTTCAATACTAATTAATTAATTATTAAAAAGGAAAAGATCCGATCTTTACTTGGGTCTCTGGAAGAACGTTAAGGGTGTCAAACTTGCAATCTTCAGCAACTTTTCTCAAAAATCCCTTCATCCCCGTCCCCATCTTCTCATACCTCTTAGCAGCCTGGACACTCTATGAAGCCAACGCCTAAACTGCACCTCAACTCCCAGCTGGCCTGCGTGGCTCTGCTGCCATCCCTCCGTCGGGCCCCTCTCAGCTCTTTAGGATGGAAGGTACCCAGCCTCTGCTCCTTGTTTTCCTTTCTCTCTACCTTTACCCATTACCAGAACTTGCCACGACAAAGGAGACTCTGGGACCAACCCCCTAAACAAGATTCCTTCCCCCTTTCCTCACGTCTTCTCAGTTCTACATCTCAATCCATGTTATCAGTTCCACAACATAAAATGCCCAGGAACCACGAAGACCATCCTGAGAGAAAAAAACTGTGGTAAGCAAAGCAAAATTCTCTTTAGTGGGTGGAACTGAGGACAGTTACAGGTCTTGCACCAACATGCCACAATTGTCATTAAGTTCCCCTTCCCCCCACTTGCCACAAGGACTATGGTTTTTATACTTTCTAATCATGCTGATTTTCCTTCACATCATCACTCACTTTTGCATTCCCTCCCTTTCCAGAACCATGGGTGTGGCCAAGGTCTTCGGCACAGCCTGGCTTTCCTGATTTAGCATCTGGCTTCCTCCCTGACTCCAGCTTCTCCAGTCTCCAATCTGTCCCACATGCACCACGCAGCGGATCACGCTCCGCACTCACCGTGCAGCTGCCCTGCTGGATAGCTCCCGAGTCCCAGCACGTGGAGCCTAGGTTCCCATTCAGGTAACCCACTTCAAGCTCCTGGCAGCACATCTCCACTTCCACTTCAACTACACTGGTCCTCCAGTGAGTACCAGCCTGAGTTCCCTCCGAAAGGCCCACCCTGGCTGCTTCTCAAGTCTGAGTCACAGCACTTAAAAGTCTGTGCCACACAGTCTCATTTTGATTTTCTCTGTCATTTGATTGTTTTCATTGTTATAAAGCCTTGAGTCTTCTTCCCATGAGACCATAAGCTCCTTGAGATCAGGGACCTCAAAGGCTTATAAGGAGCACCCCCAGATACTCAAAAGTCATCTTCCTCTGTTAGCTCATGACAAGAAAACAGACTGTTTTTACTCCAAAGGCCTTGATGGAAATCTCCAGATGCCCCTGCCAAGTCTTTTGCATTAACTCCCTGCCAAGTCATTTTTAAGAACTTCTAGATAAAGGGCAGAAGGAACCCTTTTAAAAATGTATGTATTTATGGCTTTTGTGGTGGATAATATATTCATCTGGCTCAAAACTTAAAATGAAGTCAGCCTCCCACCTTTGTTTCTCAACCACCCAGTTCCCCTGCTGAGAGGCAAACAATGGCCTTGTTTATTTTCAATACGTATTTGAGCAAATACAAGCCGATGTGAATATTTCCTCCTTTTCTCCCCTCACTTTTTTTATACACAAGCTAGCATGCAGTACACCATCTCCATCTTGCATTTTCTTTAGCAATGTATCTCAGACATAGTCCCCTATCAGCCCTAGAGAGCTTCCTTCCTCACTCTTTGTCTTGTGGCTGTGTGGAGTTCAGGAATGACTCTGATTTATTTAACAAACTTTCAGTTGTTAAATGGTGAGAGTGTTTCCAGTCTTTTACTACCATATGCGACGCTGCAAAAAATAGCCTTGTTCAGATATAATGTCGTATATGTGAGTGTATCTGTGGGACAAATCTCTAGAACTGATGGGTTAAAGGGTAAGGTGCATATGTAATTTTAATAGATATTTCCAGATTGTTCTCCAAAGACTTTGTATCAATTTACACTCCTACCAGCAATGTATGAGGGTGCATTTCCTCACACCCTCGCCAATCTAATAAACGAAAACTTTCATTTCAGTGTAGTTTGTTTTGCACCACTCTCATGAATATGGTTAAATAGATTTTATGTATAGGGCCATGTGTGTGTTTGCGTAGACTCTTTTTACCCTCTGCTCACTTTTCTTTTGTGTTCTTGGTCTCTTTCTAATCAATGTGGAGGAACTCTTTGTATATTAGAGGATTTAGCCCTTTGATGTATGAGCTGCAGATAATTTTCCCAGTTTGTTGTTTGTCTTTGACCTTGCCTTTGGGCTATTGCTAGGCAGAATTATTTATTTTCCTGTAGTCAAATTTATCAGTCTTTGCTTTTATGGCTCCTAGGTTGTATGCCTTACTCAGAAAGAAGTAAGACACCTCCTACACACACACAAACACACACACACACACACACCCCTTTTAAAAATTCTGCCCGTATAAGAAGCTTGGAACAATTTGCTAGCTTTTGTGAGGACTAGGACAACTCCTGCCGTCCAAGAGATCCCAATTTTAGGGAGACACAAACTGATCACTGCAACTCCATGGAAAAATAAGTAAGACAGGGCGCAGTGGGAACCTGGGTTAGGACCACCTAATCCAGCCTGAATTGGCCAGGGAAGGCTTTCCAAAAGAGGTGGCACGCATAGGAATCAACCAGGTGAAGAATGGCCTTCCTGTAAAAGTGGCAGCACGTGCAAAGGCAAGAAGCAAGAAGCAAAAGGGCTCAGTCAAGACTGTCCAGTCTGGCAAGAAGACAGGGAGCCCTGCAGAGCTGCTGTGTGGTAAGGGGTGGAACTAGGAAGGCAGACAGGGGTCAGATCACGGAGGGTCAAGTGGGTACTGCCCAGAAATCAGGGCCTCACCCCAAGGCAGCGGGGCGGCAGCAGGGGGACACAACAGCCTCGGGGAGGAAGAACTGGAGACAGTCTAGCGTGGAGGCTGCGCCCTGGCTCGAAGGCTTCTGCCTCTTGCCCAGCAGCAGCCACGGCAGCCTAGAGAGGCTCCCAGCTGCCAAACAAGACTGAGAATTTCAGACCCAAATGTTCTATTCTGTCAAACTTCCAGAATTCTATAAAAATCACTGGGGAAGCTAGCACCTTCTCAGAAAAATATTTCTACCCAAGAAGATGACAACTTCAAGAGCTGTGACTTTTACTGGAGAAGGTGGTGGTTATCGCTCCCACCGCAGCATTCCTCTGGCAGATGAGGCCAGGTAAATGCACCTTGGACACTAATTGCCTTCTCCTCAGCTCCAGCTTGGCTCAGGGAAAAACTGGGCTCTTCAGCTCCCGCCCATTCATCCAGACCCCCATTCAGAATGGGCAACAGGATGTGAGACTCATGATGGAGTGGTGGACCCCCAGCTGGCCCACGTCCACGGGACAGCTCTTTCCTTCTAGCCTTTCCAACAAGGCTCAGTTCCGCTCTGAGCAGCCACAGCTGTTTTCAGAAGTATTGTAATAGGGAAGAACAAATCTGACTCCACAGTGGATCTGTTTCTTTTACTTAACCTTTGTATTCTATTGCTTTTGTGACAAGCTAATCACTAAAGGGATGTTGCCTGTAACCTAAGCTACACATAATGGTCCATTTCTGGGAACCCTGCCGCCCGTGTAATGAGTGGTAAGCTAAAATACCTGTGTGTGTGTAGCTCACAGAAAACCTCCTGATCAGGCCCACCTGTGAATGGCTGCCGGAAGGAAGAAATTAACACATTCCCTCTGGAGTTTGATGGGAACCAGGACTTGCCCCTTCCCCTTTTAGTATAAAAGTAGCCTGAATTCTAATTCAGGGGGTATGATTCTTTGGGACACTGGTCCACTATCTTCTCAGTCTGCTGGCTTTCTGAATAAAGTTGCTTTTCCTTGCCCCAACAACTTGTTCCTCGATCTACTGGCCTGTCGTGGGGTGAGCAATATGTGCTTGGACTCCGGAATAGTATCAGACAGAAGCCTATGAACTTCTGCTCCCATGGCCTTGTAAAACAGGCATTTTGTAGCAGGTCTCCTGAGCATCTGTCTTCCCTAAAGTACCCAGCTCAGAGTCTTGCACATAATAAGCACTCAGTAAATGGAAGCAGTTTGTGTTAAAATTGGAAGCCTCACCATTCATTAGCAGGTTGCTGAGGGAAAGGAAGGGCAATGTGGACAGGAGGAGGGAAGTTGGAAACCATTTAAACGGAACCTTGGAATTGCCTCTGGATTTCAATTATCCAGGCCCTCCCCACGCCCCAACCCCCAAACCAGTCAAAGAAGTCGATTCTTAATGCTACTGTTTAGTTCTACCTCTTACCACACACCAGCACTTGATTAAGTCAAGTGCTATAGCGATAAAGGCTCTTAGAGGCTGCTGGTGGCCTTGGTTCCAGCCAGCATGCTTCCTGGGCCCTGTCAAAGGCACCTCTACTCACAATGGTCTGAGGGCATGCATGGGGTGCCCATTCACCCCGGCCTGGAAGGTAGGAGGGCAGGAAGCCAGCCCCAACCTCAGCTCCAAATAGGCAGACAAGCCCTTCCCCACTGCAGCCACCAAACAGCAGTTAGGTCAAAGGCAGGGTAGCGGAGGGTTTCTAGGGCAGAGCATGTGTCGCTCTGGAGTCTACTTCCCCCATCCATGTGTGCTGTGGGGGTGGGGGAGGCACAGACACCCAGGCCCCATCTCAGGCACAGCAAAGCTGATGAGGACCTGGGTTCTAGGGCAGGAAGCAAGGGACCTGGGTTCTAGGGCAGGCTCCAACCCTGCTGGCTGTGTGCCTGTCACTTGCATAAAGTGCACACATCAGCTCAGGGTCAGGGATTTTATTTCTCCCAGAATGAGAGTCTATTTCAGTAAATGTTAGAAAAGCTCACTGGTATGAATACATATCTAGCTTTAATTTCCATTTATTTGACATTTACTATGTAAAAGGCAGTGGGAGGGGGCATTTTACACACATTATCTCATGTAATCCTCTCAACAACTCCATGAGCGTAGAATAATACAGACGAGGAAAGTGAGGGTCAGAAAGGCTGAGCCCTGAGCCAAGTCCCACTGCTGGTACATCGGCAGAGCTGGGATTTGAACTCTGGGCTGTCCGGCTTCAAGCCCTTTGCCCTTAACCACCATATGACGTGGGGACTGAGGAGTGCTGGTCAGTTCCCCAGCCACACCTAGTGATGCCCCTGATCTCGAAGACCACGGACAGGCTTTAAAGGAAGGACAGAGTCTCCCAAAAGGTGACTTATCTTTATTTCCAGTGCCCCCGGTCTCACAGCATGGTCTGTGGGAAATCTCATGGTCTTGCCAACTCCCAGGCTTCCCTGACTGCGTGGCAACTGGGTGCCCCACCAAGGAGCTGAAGTTCCAAAGGCCAGCGATCTCCAGCTGTGGCTCCTTCTAAAAGCAGTTCCTGGGCATGATGCAGAATCAAGGTTTCTCGGTCACTCCTCAGTCCCCTTCCCAGAACAGAGGAACAACACAGTGGCTGGTTCCCCTGGCTTGCAGTGCCTATCCCAGGAAAAGGTGGGGAGGGGATCCAGAAAGCGAGTGTCTCCTGGTTGAGAGGAGCTGGGACCTGGGCCTTTGGTCTAGTTTAACCTGGGGTGGGTCAGGCCCCTGGGGAGGCTCCGGAGCAGGCCCAGACCAGTCCCCCTACTCAGCAAATGTGGGAGTCTTCACCATATTTTGCCAACATCCACCTTATTCACCAAACTCAGCCTAAAAGCATGCTGAGGGCAGAGGGACACACGTGACAGAAATCCTGGGTTCAACTCTGCTGGAAGCCACCGTGCTGGGAGATGACTTCCTTCACTTTGTCCACAATGGTGCCCACCTCAGCCATGGCCCCCAGACCTAGGGAGCAAAGTCCTGCTGTGGCCTTGCCGAATGAGGCAGGGGACCATCCCCCTCCCACCCCCACACAGCGCTCCCCAAGTGCCCTACCCAGAGCCTGGTGCCTGAGGAGGCCAGGACCAGGCCTGAGCCAGCCCCATCACATCCCTTCGGAGGAACCCCCAGGATAGGCCTCAGGAGTGGTCATGGTCACCTTCTTGAACTGTATGGGCTGCATATGAGGGAGGATTCCAGGTGCTTTACATATAGTATCTCTGTCTCCTTTAATCCTAATAACTCTGAGAGGGAGGAATTACCATTTACACTTCCCAGATGAGAAAGCTGAGCTCAGAGAATGGTTTTGCCTAAGGTCACAACAGGCTGGGATCTGAAGCTGAGCCCTCTGCAGCCCCAGGCTGTGAGGATGAGCTGTGAGCCTGGCCAGACACCTACCTTGGTCTCCACAGACCAGCTTCTTGGCCACACAGGGGACCTCCACGTAGCCGAAGGCCTTGAGCTGGCCCACCTGCTGCTCGGTGATGGGGTGCTCCCACATGGCGGTGTTCATCGCAGGGCAGAAGAGCAGGGGCTTGCTGCGGTCCCAGGCCCGGATGACGCAGGTCTGTGAAGAGGGGGGGTGCCTGCTTCTGTGCCTGCCACCTCTCCCTGTCATCCTAAGTCCTCCCTGTGGAGCTGGATGGCGCCCTCTGAAGTCTCTCTAAAGCCATAAACCCCCACTCCAGGACTCTCAGTGTGCCTGGAGCAACTGGCACCCTTAACCCCCACTCCTCACTTTAGGACCCTCCATATGCCAGCATTTCTTAAAACATCTTCCCTGGATGTGTTTATCATAACAAAATTAACCACCCCAGAAAATGGCTACTCTCACAGTACCTTAGGTAGACAGACATCATTGCATATCCCGCCCTTATCAGAGTCCCATTACTCAGAGGAGCCCCTGACAAGTCTTACCTCACTTGTAACCAATCAGGTACCTGTGCGTGAATTGGTCACGCAGCCCCCTCCCCTCAACAAAAGACCCTGCACATTCACCCCGTCTCTCTTGCACCTCTTGTCTGTGTGGCCCACTGTTGCCTAGAGCAGTGGACCTATTAAACTTTCCTTTGTTCTTAACTTCCTCTTTGTCTCTAACAAATTCTTTTACCACCTGCACACCAGCCCCGCTGCCAACACTCCTCACCACTTCTGGGCTGCAGCCAGTGTGGCTTGGGATGACTGGGAGCCACTGTCTGCAGGGAGCTGTCTCATGTACTTCAGGGGTGGGGCCATGTCTCCTCGCCCCCCTTACCTCCCCACAGGCTCTGGCATGGGCACCACACAGGAGGTGCTCTACCAACACTGGCAATGGCCCAGCCACCTCCAAGCAGACCTCCCCTCCTATGCAGAAAGGGCCACCTGTGCCCAAGCATATGTCTTCACCACAGCCGGCCACATCTCACAGACAGGAGCAACCCTGGGGAGCAGGGGGCAGGCCTTGCTGTTCTCACAAAACTAAGGACCAGACTGCCCAGCAGGCAGGCCCATCCACCCTGACACCAGCTCTGCTTGATGCCAACCAGAGCTTGGCAATGAAAACATCTTCCATGTGACAAAACTCTCTTCCATATGTTATCTCACAAACCCTCACTGTGACTCTGTAAAGAAGGTGCTGTCCCATTTCAAGGAGGGGAAGCTGCACTTTAGAGGTGAGCCATTACCCAAGGTCACACCCAAATGATGATCCGGGGTGAGACTCTGCATGCTGCCGGTGCCATCCTCCACTGCACCATGCAGCCTTACGGCCACCAAGTCACAGACCAGAGAAGCTGTGAAAGGGGCAGATCAGCTCACAGAGTTCTTAGCACCGTGGGCTTTGCAACCATATGAACCTAGGTTCAAATCTTGCTGTGCTATCTGCTGTTTCCAGCCGTGAGAACTTGGACAAGTTATTTCATGCCAGGAGTCTCAGATTCCTCTCTGCAAAAGCTCCCTCACTGGGTGGTTGTGAGGAAGGAGGGTAAGAACGCTTATAAAGCTCTTCACACAGGGCCTGGCACAAAGCACCAGCTCCAGAAACATTTGTTCCTGTTATTATTACAGGCATAGGCTCCCTGGGCCAGGGGCTGCCTGGGGGAGAAATAAGCTCTGGGGCCCACAGGAGAGCGCTCCCCTGGGCTCTGAGTGCTCCAGGCGCCTCCGCCTGAGCTGTGGGCCCCTCAGGGAGACAGTGGCTGGCACACCCCTTCCCTGAAGTGATGCCTGTCTGGGAAAAAAGGGGGAATCCAGAGAACAATGCCACAAACAGGCCAGGGCCAATGCCAGCCCTCTTCAGTGCCCTTGCCCTCTCCTGGGGACAGGAAGGAAGTGGGACAGCACACAGCCTCACGATCTGGCTACCGGCGTCATCCCAGACACCAGCATTTGTTTCCCACCAAGTCTTCGCAATGCGGCTACCAGGCCATGAATGGACAGCTTCAGTCCACACTTCCTCTTGGCCCCGTGCCACCTGCTGCCTCTGCAGAAATCATGAGCATACCTAGAAGAGCCCCTTGACTGCGTGTGGGGTGAGTGGAGATTGGGGTCTCTAAATGCACTCAAAGCAAAGCTCACCCACTGGAGCAGAAACCCCACACCTCCATGCCCTGCACCTCTCTAGCTTTTCCCACCTCATCTTGAAGCTCAGCGCTTCCCGGACAAACCACAGTTCCTCTGAGCCTTGCGGCAGCAGGAGGGATGAGAGAAGGCACCAGTTCCCACAGTCACTTCTGTTTGGCCAGTGCTGTGTGCAGCACCTCGGGCTCTGTCCCGGGAATCCGCTTGGGCGGAGAGAAGGCCTGGATCCAGGTCAGAAGACCAGCTCCCGGCGGGAGGGTAGAGCTCAGTGGTAGACTGCTTGCTTAGCATGCGCCAGGTCCTGGGTTCAATCCCCAGTACCTCCATTAAAAAATAAGTAAATAAATAAAGAAACCTAATTACCTCCACCCCTCCAAAACCTAAATAAAATGAAAAAAAAATCTATTTTAAAACTTTTTTAAAAAGTAAGCATACAAACTAACAAAAAATAAAGTTAAAAAAAAAAAAAAAAAAGAAGACCAGCTCCCAGCTAGCCCAGGAAAGCCACCTGCTCTTTCTGGATCTGCTCGGCCATTTAACACAAAGCAGTGTCAGAGCTTGAGTGGCCCAGAGGGCAGATGGAGATGCACATCACCCAGGCCAAGGGCCTGGAGGCTGGGACACCAGTTGATGCCCATCCCGCTGCTCTAATGACACCCCAAGTTCTGGACACTGGAAAGGGAGACGATCTGAAGGAGGGAGAAAGCAGAGCGAGATTTTTGGGGGGGCTATAAAGAGAAAACATCTTTTTAGAGAGAACAGAGACACAGGCCACCATGACAACAGTTTAAACTTTGTAAGATTTGCAGTTCTTTGAAATATTTGTGCCTTCAAGTGAAACCTTTGAGGCAAAGGGCCTCAGAGATGCTCTTGGGAATGTATTCCACTGCTGAGCCAGCTCAGTAGGAGGGAACCCCCAAAGATTTCAGGGAGTGGTGGCAGCTTTGAAGACAAGAGGAGAGCTGAGCTTTCAGGAAGAAGGAAGGATCCCTTGGAGAAGTGGTCCAGGCTGGCGCTTAGCTCCTAGAAGTCAGTGTGCTTCATCACATCAGCTGGCTGGTGTCCAGCCAGTGGGAAGCCTGGAGACTTGGTGGGATGGTGCTGGTTACACTCAACGCTGACCCACTTAGAGGAAAGTGGCCAGGAGCCTCACCTGCTCCGGCAGCCCTGTCGGCCCTGGCACTAGCCTCACTGGGAAGCCTTCTTGGCAACACTGCCCCTGCTCCTGCCACACAATCTGTGTGCTGCGCTTCTTCTGGTCACCTGTGCTCTTATTCAAATGAGGCTGAAGTCACTAGTAGCTTCTTTGAGGAATGCCTTAAGCACACATCAATAAACATATGAGGACACTAACCTATCTGATCCCCCAAAAGCTTGACCCAGCTTTGTTATTCACTTCTTCATCACACTGAACTCCGAAACCTCCTGGCTGTTTGCCAAAGTAAAATTACTAATCATCTCATACCTACAATAAGTATTTACTGAATGCCTACTGCATGCCCAGCACTGTGCAAGGTGGTGACTCCACTGTCAAGCGACTGACTGTATCACACACCAGTGCATACTCTAAAAACCCTCTTCTGCAGAGACTGAGCCCTCTGTGTCCTGTGTGTCCCTCAGCACAGGGCTTGGTACCTGGTAGGTAAAAGCTCAATGAATGAGGGAAGTGAGGTGATAAGGGAGAGGGAGGGAGGAGAGGAATCACACCCAGTCTTCCCAGGATGATCATATAAACAAAGGCTCTTTAAGGACAACGGCCTTTGGAGGTCCCTTAGGCCTAAGACAGTCTCCACTCTGTACAGCTGGACTTCTCTTCCTCTCCTCCACCTCGTGCCTCTCACCTTTTCTCCTCTCTTCCCCTTTAAGCGTCCCGTAATATACAGGAAAACCGCATCTCAGCCTTGCGGCTAAAGCTACAGGAGAGATAAGTGTGCCTGAGAGATCCACGAGGAAGTAAACACTCTTATCAGATGGCCCATGTGGATATCCAGGTCCCGGTGAGAAGGCAGAGCTAAGGGGGGTTGGCAATAGGGCTGGGCAGGGAGACCAGTGGAAGAACGTGGCGAGGGCAGCCCATGAACAAAAGGCAGAGGGAGAGCTGCAGATGGGCGAGGGGCAGGTAAGAGGTGGACAACCTCAGAAGGCACAGCAAGCCACGTCAGCCCATCAGGATCAGGCCTTCTGCCCACTTGCTGGAGCGCAGCTGAGACCTGGTGGGGGGGGAGCGGGCAGGGGGGACGGTGTTCAGAGCAAACAGGCCCACCATAAAGGGATTCCAAGGTGAGAACCTTGTACAGAGGCAGTCTGCAGCTCAGCCAACTGGGAGTGAGGCCCAGGGAGGGAGGAGGGCCCAGGGAGTCACTCACAAGCAAGTTGTCACAGATGCCACTGGCCACCTTTCCCAGCGTATTGGCATCAAGAGGAGCCACCAGCATAAGGTCTGCCCACCTCCGCAGGTCAATGTGGAGAACTGGGTCGGATCGGCACTTCCACAGCTGGCAGAGGGAAAGCAGGGGTCACTGGACTGGCTGCTCGCTCCGTGTGGAGGGGGGAGGGAAGGGCCAGCACAGACAGGTACACTAAGTCAGGCACCTGAGGGAGATCACCTGGGCAACCCACGCCCCGGTCCACTACCATCGTCTCACAGCTAAGCTGGTGAGCTTTGGCCATGGAGCCAACCGCCTGAGAGAACCCAGGCCTGAGGAAACAAACGCCCCTTGTCTCTCTGAGCTATTCCCTTTATGGTTTGGTTTTCAAGAGAACTGACATCTGGCAGGGAACTCCTGGCCTTTCTGCTTGAGGCGGATGCTTGGGTTGTCCAAGCCCGTGGAAGGGCTCTGGGGCAGTGAGAAACGGAGGGGGCGGGGTGGGGAAGATGGCCAGCCAGAAATGTTCTAGGCTGAGAATGTTTAAAAATGCCTGGCAGGGCACCCCTGTGAGGCCCACACTCGATGTCTGGTGACTCGGCCGGTGCCCGCCCCTCTGCGGGAGAGCAGAAGCAGAGCCCAGCAGCCGTGGGAAGTGAGGCACTCCCGACAGCCCCGACGCTGAGGGCCACGTGGACAAGGGTGGTGGGAACAGAGCTCCTCTGTGGTTTCATCAGCCCAGATAAGTACAAGGACATTCAACCTCAGGCATGGGGCCAGCGCTGAGCTCTGCCTGGGGTGGGAGGAGACTGTGGGTCTCCTGCAGGCCAGAAGCTAGACAGATGTTTTCCTCATCGCCTCTGCCCAGAGAGCCCTAACCGCTGACTTGAGCCTGGCCTGTCTGCTCGGGCTACCAAGACCATAGGCTGCAGGGAGGACAGTCCTGTCCTGTTGGTACAAACACAATGGAACTCAGCCCTGGGGACCCCAGCACTGACCTCCCATTCATCAGTGTCGCTGTAGAGGGTGACAGGAACGTCCTGGGGGCTGTAGAAATGTTTGGCTCTCTCAGTTGTGACCACTGCTACTTCCAGCTGTCACCAAGAAAAAGTGGAGGCGGGGAGTGGGGAGGGAGGGGAAAAGAAACTGTTACCAGAGCCAATGGCCTGGAGGCCACACGGGGCCAGACCAGGCAAGAGCATTCTTCATAGCCTGGCTGCGGAGAGGAGCCCCTTGTTTGCATAGCTACTTCCGCTGTCACCCAAAGGTCAGGCCCCACCAGGTGCGGCCGTTTCACTGTTTCACTTCCCTATCTGAGGGGCTGCTGAGGAATGAGTCACCAACTGCTCAGCATATATAAAGCTGCAGGCTGCTGCCACTTGGGCAGAAGCAGGAGGGAAGGGAACCCAGGGCAAGAGGGCCATGTAGGCCATGGCAGGCAGGAGAAGCCGCCAAGGAGGCTCCCAGGTCCTGAGCTCTGGACCACACCACAGCCCTGCCCTCTACAGGCCAAAACACTGGGGACCTGGGGCCCTGCACGTGGTGTCTGCGACCATGGCCCAGCAAGTGAGTAGGCAGAGTCCCTTCTCGGACTTGGTACTTCGAGGAACAAAGCCTCATGGGTTCTGGCTGCAGATGGGCTCCAGAAAAACCAAACCTGTGTGCCCTATACTCACGGGGCAAGAATGATGTTTACCTTCCCACTACTCATTTACTAGATAAATGAACAATGCAAACAAAGGGGATGGTTAAGGTGCTTAACAGAACAGAAACAGCACATTAGGTAGTGTGAACGGCACTAGACCAGTTCCCCCAACATTTGTAAAATGAGATGTAGACTAACAAGCAGGCAGAGTAAAGGGGCCCAGGAGAGGCAGCTGGGAGGGAAAGGGTGAAGGAAGTCACGTCTCTGGAGGACATTTACCTCGCAGGGAGCAGTGTCAAGGGGGAAGAGTCAAGGGTGACACTGACTAACCAGAGCAAGGGTCATGGGTGACAGGGTCCGGGCCAGATATGCTATTTGGCCCGTACGGGGTTATAAACATTTTTAGGCCAATATATACAAATTGGGAGATTTCACACAGAAAATCCAATTTCCTGGCTTCTCCGAAAAAACTGAATGCTCTGGCACTCCTGGGCCCACATTCCTGCTTGATAATCACTCAGTGGTATTGAGTAAAGGCTGACTCTTTGGATGGGGTATGCCCTGGCCAGTTCAGCCTCGTCCCTGCCCCTCCCTATCCTCTCACTGAGGTCCTCCCTCTGCATTTGTTTCCCACCTGCTGTGGGACACTAGCTGGAATCAGGGAACAGAAGTCTCAGACAGACTGTAGAAGAACTTCAGAAAGTCTGGTGCTCCCAGCTCTACTGAAGAGCTCTCAGACTTGTCCATTCTCCCTTTCACTCCCCCTTGGAATCTACCATCCCTAGAACTTGCACAAAACCTCAAGGACCTTTTTAAAGATCATTTAAATCAAACTCCTACTGAGCACAGGCATCTCTTCTAGGACAGCCCTGAGCAAGTCTTGTCTAGTTCTGAACAAGACAGTAAATGAACAGGGCTGCTGTCCCTCCACAGGACCCAGCCCAGAAGATGTCACAGGACCAGCACAGGTAGGGAGAGCAGAGGAAGGCAGGACGGTGCTGAGACTCATCTTAGACACAAGACGGTAATAAGGTAAAGTATGGCGCATTGTGTGTTAGAAGTAACCACAAGAAGAATAATATACAACTTTCTAACCAGCAGAGGAAAATTCAATCTACACAACAAAGGATCGGGAAAGGGAAAAAACAGAAGCAGACAGAACACATGATAAATAGAAAGCGTTAAATAAGATGGCAGAAGTGAGTCCTAATAGAACAGCAATTACAGTAATTATACAATGGGCTAAACTCCCCGATCAAAATTCAGACTCTCATATTGGATATTTTAAAATCCATCAATCACATCAAAATGTGTCTTAAAAGACACATTTAAAACAAAAAGATACATAAAGGTTAAACAGAAGAATAAACTTTTAGTTAAATAAAGTAGATTATGCTGTCCCCTCCCCCCATATCCACCAAAACAAAAGTAAAAGAATTTTTTTAAAAGTATGAACCACCAGAACAAAAAGAAGAGGATAAAAACAAAAACAAAAACAAAAAAAACAAAATATGTCAACACATTTTTGGAAGATGGAAGTGGAACAAGGCATTAGCAGATCAGATCAGATACTTTTTTAAAAACAGTCAGGGAACAAAAAAACTCTTAAAAATTAAAATTATAAACAGTGAAATTAAAAATTCAGTGTACATTTAGAAGAAATCTTCCAGAAAGTGGAACAGAAGCTAAAGAGATAGATAATAGTATTTAAAAAGATGAGAAAATCAGAAGATAACTCAGGAGGTCCAAAAACTAACAATCAGTTGCAGAAAGAGAACAGAAAAACAGAGGTACGAAAATGACAAAAGAAATAAAAGTTCCCAAAACTGAGGAACTCAGAGGTAGGAGCCATCTCTTTTGCCTGCAGGGGTCTGAGAAGATGACACACTGTTAGGCTCAGGGAACCTGGAGTGTCACGTCCTTGGCACCCACTAAATATCTGTCAATAGAGCCTGAGCCCACATCAGCTCTTCTGGGAGCCACATCCTCCTGCTGATGTTCATGGGGTTTGCAATCAGCAAAATCTCACGAGTTCTTCTCATGCATGCTGCTACTAGACGACAAGCCCCAAACTGTGCCAGCACTGTTACTTTCTCAAAGGCAGTCCCTCACATTTCCAGAGCTGGTCCACTGTTTGCTTAGTCTATGAGGAGTTTCTAAAATCTCAATCCTGGTCTTTCTAGCCTGTTCTCAGCCAGCACTACCATCAGTAGCCCCAAGACTCAAATCCAAACCATGAACAGAACAAGGTCAAGAGCAGAGCCCTCCCCCAAGGTCCACAGACTAGGGGGTTGGGGGTGGGGAAAAAAATCAAGAATGAACCCTTTTCAGGCGTGGGAAGGGATAAACTGGGAGTTCGAGATTTGCAAATACTAACTACTATATGTAAAATAGATAAAAAACAAATTTCTTCTGTATAGCACAGAAAACTATATTCAGTATCTTGCAGTTACCTATAATGAAAAATATGAAAATAATTAGAGGTATGTATATGTATGACTGAAACATTATGCTGTACACCAGAAATGGACACACTGTAACTGAGTATACTTCAATTAAAAAAGAATTTTTTTTAGATTAAAAAAGAATGAACCCTTTACAAGTAGGATCTTTCACTGATTATAAACATGCTGACAACATTACCTGGTGGTCCAGGGGGGTATCCTAAGATTCTATCAAAGCCTCATCAAATCCAAAAATACTTTGTCTAATATCCAGAAAAAACAAAACTAAGAACTAAAATTGATACGGCTTTTTCCCAAGGAGTCAGATCAGGCTCCAGTGACAATTTTCTAAGTGCTTTTCTAAGTGCTCACAAGCCTTGTCTAGAGTAATCTGTGGAGCCTACCTGCTTTGCCTTTTTGATAAATGGACATTAGTCATCTCCAGCCCCCTGCCCCTCCGCTGTTTCCTGCACATCCGGTAGGTCACCAACCACAACGTCAGCAGCTCAGGACAGAATCTGCCCGGGTCAGGAGATGAATCGCCCAACTTGGGTTCAAGTGTCTTCTACCACCATTTGTCCTACTTTTTCAAGCTCAAAAGAAAAGACAGAAACAAAATAGGACTCAAGAGTCCCTCCCATTTCTTTCTGTCCACACACCTACTTCCAACATCATACCATTGGCCTCCAGGACCAGGCATTGTTTCATTGTTCCTTCTCCAAATATACATAACGGCCCTCTTGGTCATCTTGAGTTTCACAGCAAGCTTCGGCTCACTCTAGTGGCCTCTGGACCACATTCTGCCTTCATCTTTGGTTACATGTCCTCCTTTCCATTTAACTGCTTTCCATTCTCCTTTAATAGAGGGCTTCCCAGGAAGCCATATCAGTTTCCGGCCACTGCCTTCTCTTCCTCACGGGACCGCTTTCATTCCTAAGAGCCTTCCAATCAGCCTGAACAATTTGCCACTTAAGAACACCCCAGTTCATCCTCTTCTGAAATGTGGAAAGCTGCTTCCTGAAGATCTAGTTCCCCTGCTCTCCCCAACTCCCAAATGGCCTGCCAGTCTCCAAGTCAGGACTGTGCCTGGGGCCAGCCTTCAGAAATATTCCCAGCTTGGTGATGGCCCTGTTCAGGGGCTCCCTCCTCCCTCTCAGCTCTACCCTTTCTTTCCTTCTACATCCCCCTCAGTCTCAGCTCCTTTATACTGCTTCCCCCTGACTCCTGAGGACCTCCAACCGGGGGTCCAGGTAAACTTCCCACCCTGGTCAATAGCCCCTGCTTGAGATCCTCCCTCTAAGCTCCTCCCCTAGTCTCTCAGTCTGTCCCTCTCTGGCTAGCCTCCCAGGTTAAAGTCATTGATAAGGAGCTTCTTGGGGTCAGCATCTTTACCTAAAGAGTAATGTGAAGAGTATGTAATGAGCCCATCCTTCCCAGTGCCCCTCCCCTGACCCCTCTGAAGCAGCCGTCTCTCCTTGGCAGTGACCCTGACCCCAGTGTTATCCGGCAGGCCCACGCTAGTTTTTCTGGTTTTAGAGGGATGTCACTTGATCTGATTCATCAGCCTTATGGGCTTTGTTCTTTCAGTTTCATTCACGCTGCCAAAAGGACCTGGGAGGCAAGGACTAGGCTCTGGGTTTGCACACATTAAAAAAAAAAAACATGTTGTGTTACCTTCTGAGACACTAAATAACTTAAGACTATTCACTCATTCACCTTGACCTTTCCCCCAGCAAATGCTAAGAAGCCTTGGCAGGGCAGAAAACTCCTGAGGACAGAAAGCCTCCTCGGCTTTCTCTTACACCCTCTTGGGTCCTGGCAGGAGCAGGGCTGGACATTACAACAATCTCCTGCACACTACAGAGTTCCTGAAAGGCAGCTCTCTGCTTGGACCCCTGGCAAGACCCCTGCCAACAGTTTTTACGTCTAATATTTTCAGCCTGAACCTCTGTGAGATGTGTGATGTGACCAAGGCTTGGCCGGACCCCGTTATTAGGTGCCTGCA